TGTATGTATGCATGTATTTATGCATGTATGTATGTATGTATGTATGTGTGTATATGTATGTAAAACACCAAAAAATGTCCGTTCAAGTCAGTTCTTTGGGTTTTTGTGGGACAAGCAGAATTCTGTAAAGTGGGAACTGGAGGGCTTTGCTCTTGCAGCTTTCGCGCAACATTCTTCCCTGAGGCGATGCCAAAGGTGTGGGACTGAGGGGAAACGGTCAAAGATACAACTGTACTGCTGCGAGTACCCAGCTGCTTCATGCTACTCCGACCAGTTGGTGGTCCTTCGACGATGTTTTGTTTCTTCCTATTTATTCCACAGAAGCCCGTGTTTGATTCTATTGCCTTTACACATGATTTGAATCATGCTTGATGCTGGTGACCGGTTCCATGCAGTTTGCCTACTGTAAATTTATGATAAGCGAAGAGAATAGTTGGCATTTATTGTGTGTAATGAACGCGTTGTGTATGTGTGTGTGGGCGTTGGAACAGATGGACATCTATGCTGGTTGGGGTACTCAATAGATTGCTTTAAGCAATCTTTAAGCAAATAGTTGGCATCGCTGATGACTTGTTTGCAAACTGTTGGAGCGAGGTTCGACTCTTCCATGGCAACTTTGGGCTTTGTGTCTCGCCAAGCCAGGCAGCATCCGATGGAATTCATACAACAGTGATTGAAAGGCACGGCGTACTGCAACCTTGCGAGGCTATCAGGAACCATTAGTAGTATAGTAAGTCAATGGACACGATAGGCTAGAACGTGGATGCTGGCAAGCTGGTTTCCGACGTATCCACATTTGCGTGGTAGACAGAAGATCCGGACACAATGGATCCACATCTGTGAGACTCATGTTTGGAGTTTGAGGTTGACAAACAAAATCATAATCGCGAGTCTTTGGCAGTTTAGTACATCTCCGTAGTGGCAAGGCTTCCGCAGGATACGCGCCTTGACTCGGCGTCAAGGCGAGATGTGCGGCGCCAAGGAAAGCCACAATTTTTGCAATAGCTGCGAAATCGAATATCGCTAGCAGCAGTGGGACATGGTCCTTTATATAAGCACCTCATTTTTTTGTATCCTGAGTGTCCTTATGTAGGCAAATCACTGGTATCCACGATGATGTTTGGAATCATACAGCTTGGAACCAGGTTTTTACACTCATGCCTTGTGAGTGGGCGATCCCAACATGTCGGAATGTTTGATTGGGGTGTTAAAACGACAAAGCATGCAACCAGATATTAGTCACCATAATACTTAAGCATGCTTTCAGTTGCTGTTCTTTTGGCCGAACAATTTCGATTTTGCAAATACTGTATACTACAGTTGATTACAGTCTAGATATCATTGGCGCTTGTGACTCATGTTGTCAGGTTATGCTGCAGGAGAGGCGTGGAAATGGTATACAACCAATAGTCATAGCTATAGCAAAAGAGAGGGATGGGAGGAGAATGTATAGTTGGATGCTGAATAACATAGAGCTGAGATCCAGCCCACGTTTCCTTCCTTTGGGCTCTGGGCTGTTGCTGTGAGAGTGCTTGGAAGTCAATGTGCATGACTTTCGCCTCTGAAACGAGAACACCGATCAACATGATTCATCATGCAAATGCATATTGGCATATTGAACTGATTCTTGTTAAGCGTTGGATCATTGGACGCAACCCAGCTTCTGACTCGTGGCACTAGTCGCTAGTGGCCCTTTGACATATTCCCCATGACCTTTGGAAGGTGATTGAAGTCCCTCCTTTGACGACAGAGGATGAGGCCATTGTCGTTGAAGCCCCAGCCTTTCAGACGAAAGCAGTGACCCACATTAGCTTTCAGAGCGCGCGTTCCAGGTTTGGCTCCATGGGTTTGGTGACACGGGTCAACGTCTGGACCTTACCGGCCTTACCGGCTGCATTGGAAGGGCACATGCCAGAAAAAATAAACGAGCATGGCCAATGTAATGCACTATTGTATATATATATAATTGTATATACATTTTTTGACTCATACTCATATTTGTGAGTTGCTATTGTATCCGTTTTGACGGTGATATAGTTGCCTGATTGATCAATCGCCTGTTGCTTTGGATTGATCATTGTATGTCTTTGTCTACGATGTCACCAATGTCAGCAGATTGTCATCGATATCACAACATTGGCATCCGCATGATGTACCGAGGCGTCGAATGCACCCGCGACCGCGACCGTGTGGACATACATATACATCACATGCACACATACATGTACATATATATATAATTATATATATACATACATATGTTTATATATCACGAAAGCCAGCCGATAGGCATGGCTGAGTCCTCAATGGGTGAATGTCGGGGGGTGGTCGCAGGGCCGGTCCCGACGGGTGAACCCAGAGCCTGGTGGGGGAGAGCGAGAAAAAGCGAGAGTCCCTAGAACCAGTAACAGTGAATGTGGGTTGATCAAGGCCCTATGCATATAGGCCCTATCATATTGAGCCTCAATCCGAAGCTTTGCGTCTCTTTGCCTTCTATTTTCCCGTGGCTAACAGGAGTAGAAGCAAGTGCAATTTCGACTTCACCCTATAACAACAGTTATATCGTACTACAGAGGCAGGTTTTACATATTACATACTACTGTGCGTATGTAATCATTTTGCATGTCAATGCTTGTTCAGTGCGTGCATGTGTACAGTTGAAGCCGATTCACAGCGGCGCGCAAACATACAACACAATATACTTATCTAAGTTGACCGAAGACCCTGGCAATCATCATCCAAGGCTGGGCAGGCTGTGTGCCAGCTCTGCAGCAGATGGGTGCCTCAGTGGAATTAGGCTTCGCGTGGGCTGATGGCACCCACGCTTCCAACTTGCAATGGCGCCCAAAGATCCCTGAATTTTCCAAACCGAGCAGGTGTTTTTCATAGGCGAAACACAGGCTTTGCAACCTGATAGGATTGCATGTGGCTGGCACTCAGATTGTGCCTCCCTCAGCGACACTAGAGGTCCAAGGTTCGAAGCACAGTTGATCTCAAAGGCAGCAACGTGTAATACGGCAGAGCCGTTTGTTCATTGATGTTGAACTTTAGAATCACGCATGACTCCAGCAGAACATATTTTTGATTTTGAGATTCGAGATGAAAGGATTTATACAAACATTGACATCACAAAAACTGATCAAAAGTCTGGCGTAGGCGTTCTGCTTGTGGGCGTAGATTCCGCGTATGTATTTTGACACACCGGTTTGTTGTAGGCACTTGCCGTAGGTTTTTTTCCAGATGTTTAATTGCAGCAGTCCGTTTTGACCCCCTGATGAAGAATTCGTTTCAGAAATTCGTCTAGGACATGGAGACTAGAAAACCAACACAGTTGAACCAAAACCTCACGTTCGTAGGCTTCTCCGTAGCAAAAGTGTTGCGCGCATGTGTGTCGTAGGCTCGCACTGTGGAAACGTAGGCGAACCGTAAGCTTTGCCGTAGGCACCCTTTTATGATAATACCCCACAAAATAAATCAAAAACTCTGCTCGAAAGAGAAAAATCAACGATGTTCCCCCAAGCGGTTGGTTTTAGACACACACATAAGGAACATTAGACTTGCAGAATTCAAGTTCAGGGCCTAGAGAGCAGCTGAGAGAAGACCTGCACTCAAGACATTTTGGAACGCGATGTTCTGGTTTTGGGGTTAAGCCTGTTACAACACCCGTTCAGCTCCGTGCACCAAGCTGCTGAATCTGGAGTTATTCCCAGCGCTGTACTCTGCCAGGGGCAATGTTTTTGCTGTTGTTGGGAAATATGTTTCCCGGTAAAGTTACGTATGTAAATTTACAATGCTTGTTTATCCTTTTTACAGTAATTCACCAGCTTTCTCACTTTGCTCACCGAGGCCTTCCAATGCTCCGCTTTTTGTTTCCCACTGCTCCATTGACAGGACCAGCAAGAGGGGAACGGAAGCTACTGGTAGCAAAATCTCACCACCAAGCGCAAAGGTACCACACATGACCTGGAACTCGAATGTGAGAGTGAGAATGGTTTTTGTCTACATACAAGAGACCTCCCATATCTTGCCATAGAAATCGCTTTGTGGGTTTGGCGACGTAACGATGCCCCAAGATGCCCACATGTGCTTTGCAATGGCATACAGGTGTTACGTTCGATCACTATTGAACAAGACAGGAGTTGGTAGCAAGGAATTGCGCACGTCATGGCCTGATTCTCAGCGCAAAGACCTAAGCCTAAGCAGTATACAGCAGGTACTATTCATCCAATTTCAATTTGTTTGTGCTGGATGGAATTCTAGACTTAACTTGCATTGAATGAAACTGCAAATTTGCCCGATAGGTTTGACCTCTCTACCCTGGATTTGACCGAGAGGCACCAAATCAGCTTTGATGGCTTTGATGCAGGGTGGTTCATGTCATGAGGAAGTGGATGTTCTTCAGTGGTTGTCGTCGTTGTTGTACTTGTTATTGTTGTGGTGATGCCCATGATGGTGGATAATCGATCATACGATAAATCAGGATCATCGATATGTTGAAAGGACAATGCCCTGGGTAGGGCACCGCATTGACGTTCAGAGCAAGGGTTGATCCAGAATTTCCAGAATCAAGTTATTTGTCACGCATTGTCACGAAAGCCCGCCAATAGTCTAGGCTGAAGTCATTTTCTGTGAATAAAGTGAGTCTTTTAGGGGGCCTGGCGGGAGGTGCGGCAAAGTGCATGTATGCATGTAAATTTCAAACCATAAATTAGCCTGCTGGTGTTTTTACTTTGCTGCATGGGTTAGTGCATCATTTGCATCAGCAACTGTTTAGTTTATGTGTATTTGACTGCTTGGTGACATTCCACTCAGACTTACTGGTTCACGTGTTTAACATGTGAAAGTCAATTAACTAGGGCTGGGCATCCATGTGATCGACACGAATCCCAAGGGATGTGACTCACGTCCAGTCCTTTCCGTTGAATCGGTGACCGCATCCGCATCAGACTGAGCAAGACAAGCATGAACTTCCACTGGCTTTCGTTTCCCCCTTCTCCGTTGTTGTTGTGTATTTTCTGTTGTGGGGTACCGCCTAAGGACTGCAGAAGTTGTGAGAGCTTCCACTTATTCACTTATGCTGAGGAAACCCATTCATTGATGCAGTGGATAGATGATAGAAGTAGGTTGCTGCTGAGAGGATCTGTCTTCGTGACCTGACTGTGGCAACGAGTAGACAGCAGTAGACAACTGATTTAGTAGAGTGCAGCCAGTGGGCATGTGTGACGCCTGTGATTGTGCGAAAAGGCTTCAGTGTTTTTGTGCCCTTGTTGCAGGCGGCGGCAAACTCCAGAACAGCTTTTGGAGGGTGTTGACTACGTGACTTGCTGCGAGAATGACTAAGTCCGTGTTCTTCACAGACTTCATGACTAAGTCCGTTTTCTTCACATGGATTCCCTGCTCCACTGCTGTGAACTTCTCAAAGAATATGTTCAAACGATTTGAAGAGATCCCAGCACTTGCTCCAGAAGCACCGTTGTCAAGAATACGCATTGTTTGTTCTGTACGAATCGACGAATGCTTGCATGCTCATATATAGAGCTTAAGTGGGCCTCTCAATGAGGCCACGGGCTTTGAAGCTTTAAAATGTGCCGTCTCAATGCTGCAAAACTGAAGATAACTTTTCACTGCGGCATTGGCCCAGCTGCGAAGTGTGCTCTAGCACCAAGGTAGAAACGTTTCTTCATCAGAAGCCTCGTGAAAATAACACACAGTATACTGGCATGTAGGAATGTTCAGTTCTTTGTTGTGTCAAGATGTTGCATTGCTGAGTGAGGTACTCCATTTGGTGGAGCCGCACGTGCCCTCCAAGGAACCAGAGTGGAGAGCACAAACTTATTATATAAGGATGAACTAAAGATCAATTGTATTTGGATGTGTTTAGCATGGTGGAGTGGATCAAAGGGTGACATGTTGATGCATTCCCTCAACACATTTTACAAGGGGAGTTTGCCAACTTGCAGGAAAGACCCGATTCGTTTTTGTTTGTTTGTTTTTCTTTTTTTTGGCAGTTTGTGGTACGTCCGTGCAACATGTTATATAAACTTTGAGTATATAGTGGACAAATGAACGCTGGTCAAGATGTTGCCTTGTGTGGTGCCTGCAGCCTGTGGCTTGGAGCAGCAATGCATGCACGGACCATGAAAGCATGCTTACTCTGTGAGTTTGGCGGAGGTTGCTGCTAAAGGCTGAGGAACATGCGCATGACATCAGAAAACTAACAAGCAAGCAAGGAAGGAAGCAACGAAGCAAGGAGACTAACAAATACAATACATCCTGAGAGATCACTGATTATCACATTATCCACGACCCGAATAAATTTTGCCAGGCATTATTAGGAAAACTGCGTAATATTATGCCCAAGCGTGATGGTTTGAGTCTATCCAAACGTGAAGCTCAGCTGGTGCTGCCGGCCTGTTTTTCTTGCGATTCAGAATTGATAAGCTCTGGTGCGAATGGCACTTTCTCAAGAAAGTGAGTTGCCCACCACGATGTAAGCTGGAGATGGCCTAGCAGGACCTAGCAGAAGTCCACATCAGCCAAATCGGCTTGCAGAGCTTGAATAGTGTAAGTGCGACACTTCAGGTGAGCAATAGTGCAGACAACCAACCAAGCTGGGCTCGATCTTTGCTGCGACAGGCGCAGCTGTTTTAGAATTGCTTTGTTTTCTTTTTTGGGGGAGTAGTTGGTGTTTCCTTTTGTGTAGATGCTGGCTGCACTTTACAAAGTTGAGGTGTAAACAGCTTTGGATGCTGTGTCATGTCCGTGGACTTGTTTGGGACTTGCAACTAAATGAGATGGCAGCCTTCATCAGTTTCACTTACACAGAAATGTGAAAACAGACGTGAGACGAAACAGCATACACCTGGAAGGACACCAAGGAGGAGGATGAGGAGCTGGTGGCATACCAGATCAATGCAAATTTGTCACTATGCTTTGCTACCGAGCCTCATTCATGCAAACTAACGACAAATTAGAACATGTATACATATGCATATATATATATAATATTTATATATATATGCTGTTTATAGATGCATTAGATGCTGCATATTTCATATATCGTATAACATATAGATTTAGATCCTGTGGTTATTGCTAGCAATTTGGCCTTTGATCGTTGCCACTGCCTCACACTGCATTGAAGGAAGATGATCCTGCAACTAGGCACTACGGCGCACGTTTGTGTACCCCTCCATTGCGGATTGTCAGAGTACAGCAGATTTGGCAGATTGCTTGCTCCCTATGATTAATATACCGCCAATGCCCTCCCATGGAACGCACTAAATAGAGTCCAGCCCCCAAGATCAAGACCAAACAGTTGGTTTAATTTTGCCGAGTAATTGCCCAGGAATCTTTGTTGGTTTGAGATTGTAGGAATAGAGAGGATGTGGACTCCACAAGCATTGGGTTTGGGTGAAAATACCTGAAGACCAGTGCCCACATGAATTCACTCCGTAACTAGGTGGTGGGCAATCGTTTTGCTGAAAGAACTATAGATTCACTAGGTAGCCAGCAGGTCAACTTGGAAACTTGAATCGACCCGTGTATGTGTACATTCGTTTATATTCGTCCCGCGGCTTTAAAATTTAAAGTCGGGCATGCTGGCGGAAGTCTAACATATGTGTTCTCGTGTTTTGAATACGACCAGACATGTACAGTACGACACCGAAGTAGCAAACACCCGGTGGCTTTATTGAGAGCCAGCGATGATTTGTGGTATGGAGCCTTCATAGGGGGTACCCTTTACAAGTTGATAGTTTGCGATTCCTGATGCTACGTGTGACGAAATGTTCTGATTCTTGTTTTGATGTGTTCTCTTTTCCCCAAACAGTGTGGACACACTTAGGGGTTCTTACGGCAATAGAAAAGCAGCTGATGCTTAGATCGCTGAAGCGCGCGGGCGTGACCGGCTAATTCGCTGCTATTTACAGTACATTCATGCCTCTGAAAATCGTCGAAGTGCATTTCGACTGCGCAGGCTCGCGAAATCTGGGTGGCGGCGGCGAGTGCTTGTCGCGACTGCGCTCTCGTTGTGTTGCCGTGCGCATTTTCGCACATGGTGGTCACTTTGCGTGGCAGGCGCAAGGGAAACCTCGTGCTTTGGTGGTCCAAAGTCGACCTTTCGTGACAGGTGCAAGGGATCGGAGCGGCTGTACTTCGAAGTGCAGATTTCGTGGCAGGTGCAGCACTTTGGACATGAGGCGCTCTGATTCCGTGACAGGTGCAATGAATCGTGACTTTTGGACATGTGGCTCGTTTGCAGATTTCGTGGCAGGTGCAGCACTTTGTGAACCTCGATGTGCAGATTTCGTGGCAGTCACAGCACGTTGTGATCCTCGACATGTAGATTTCGTGGCAGGCGCAGCACTTTGTGAACCTCGATGTGCAGAGTTCGTGACAGGCATAGCACTTTGTGAACCTCGAAGTGCAGAGTCCGTGACAGACGCAGCACTTTGTGAACCTCGAAGTGCAGATTTCGTGGCAGTCACAGCTTGGTGAACCTCCATGTGCAGATTTCGTGGCAGGCACAGCACGTGGTGAACCTCGAAGTGCAGATTTCGTTGCAGGCACAGCACTTTGTGTTCGCGTTAGGCACAGCACTTGTTGAACCTCGAAGTGCAGATTTCGTGGCGGGCGCAGTCTTTGTGAACTCGAAGTGCAGATTTCGTCGCAGCACTTTGTGCTCTCAGATGCTCACTCTCTCACCCTCACTCTCACTCAGTCACACACGCTCACACTCGCACGCACTCTTCACTCACATTCATTCTTCACTCACACTCACACTCACTCACACTCACATTCGCACTCGCACTCACTCACTCTCACTCTCATCCACACTCACTCTCACTCACTCACACACTCACACTCTCACTCTCACTCTCACTCTCACTCACAGTCGCACTCCCACTCCCACTTACACACACACACTCCCTCACACTCACACCCACTCATGGCACTGCACTCACTCTCACTCACACTCACACTCACACTCACCTTCACTCTCACTCACTCTCTCACTCACACTCACACTCTCACTCTCACCCACTCCCACCCACACTCACTCACTCACTCACGCACGCACGCGCGCACGCGCGCACGCACGCACGCACGCACGCACGCACGCACGCGCGCACGCACGCACGCACGCACGCACGCACGCACGCACGCACGCACGCACTCACTCACTCACTCACTCACTCATGCGCTCTCTCACTCACTCACTCATGCACTCTCTCACTCTCACTCTCACTCACTCTCACTCTCACTCTCACTGTCACTCACTCCATCACCCTCTCCCTCTACCTCGCAATCGCCGTCGCACTCGCAGTCGCACTCGCACTCTCACTCTCACACTCTCTCACTCTCTGACTCTCTCACTCTCACACTCTCACACTCACTCACTCACTCACTCACTGGACCCCAATGCGTCTAGATCTCTAGACTTTTCTGCTTATAGACCTCACACACACTGTTTGGGGTCTCTTGCCGGGATACTTTTTTTTTAACAAAATGTGATTTAAAGCCTGGGTTGACTTCCCCCCAACAAAAAAGAGAGAGCGGGTGTGCTTGGGAGAGCACACACTAGCTCAAAACCTTTAGAACACACTGACACACTGTAAATACTGTGCAAAATGTCAATAAACTGCTCTGGGACCTAGGCGAAACGCAGGAGCGCCCGTTCAAAAAAGAGAAACAAATATATATATATATATACATACACATGCATGAAGCAAATATAACCTGAAACATGCTGAAACGAAGATAGACATTATCCACGTGCCTCGTACATACAAATGTCGAAAAACCTTCAACATAGAAATTAGTCAATACTATTGTTCAATACTACAGTGTGTTTATCTAGTCACTTTGGTTTACTCATGGTGACTAACCTTTTTGGGGAAAACTGTTGCAATCGTATGTGGACATTACTGAGTTTCTCAACCTCCGTAGTTTCTGGCCATGCCCCAGTGGTGTGGGTCTTTGGTTTGCAGAAACCCAGCATGTGTGCCATGACCGCCTTTGATGACATTTTCATACATTTTCATTTGAGGATCGGCATGATCATTCATCCTTTCTCAAACATTTGACTTTGGAGGCTCAACTCGTTTTCTGTGCGTTCAAAAGCGGATTTGCTTCACCTCGTTCACGGAGGCAAGGGGTGAACCGAACGTAAGTTTGTGTAACCATGGCCCTTTGATGTATAAATCCTGGAAGTGAATTTGACGCCATTGGAGGAGTTATATATATAGTTATATATACATGCGTACTTGGTTTCACTCCAACTGATCTAGATACAATTGTCACAAGGGTTCACACTGTAATTAGTTTGGTGTGCTTAGCATTTCACGACAATATATGCTGATCTATTGAAACAGTCGACATCGGTATAGCATCAGGGCAACAGACGAAATGGTTCAAACATGCAAGACTCGCATCAGCGGCGCCAAATGTATTGCTGGTTCCTTTCACTCCAGCTCATTTTTTTTTGTTTGACATAGTTGGGAGAGTGGTGTCCGTCATAAACAGTTTTGTTGGATGCTGATTGTGTTTGCACATTTTGGCAGGTGATGGTTGTGGCGTCCTTGTGGATGATGCCCTTTGTGCGCCGTATGCCCAAAACAATCTGACTAACGAAGAAGCAAAAAGGACACACCGTTGCCAGTGTTGGAAGAAGAAACACAATAAAATAAAAGGATAGCAACCTTGATTGACGAACAGTTTGTCTTGCTGTGTGCAAGCTGCTTTGTGTTCTATTGAGGTCCTACGCGGGAGCAGCTGAAGATGTCAAGCAGCTGATAAGTGACTTGGACATACTTGGACAAATTGGACAACATTCTTGACTCTTGACTCTAATTCCCATGGCCAAGCCACTGAATCAATTACACACTGGATTCATGTGCTCCACTGCGAAAGTTGATTGCCTTGCACACTTTTGCCAATTGTACCAGAGCCGGACACAATTTGTATAGAAGATGCATCAAATTCTTTTAAGTGGCGGGCCCCCTACAAAAGGCCCTTTGTACTGTAATTAGGATCAAAACTGGCAATCTTTGGCTGGACACACGTATACAGTAGATGTTTCTTGTATTTAGTATCAAAACATTTGTGTGGGTCAGGGCAGCTATGGCACGGTTAGTTGTCACGCAAATTGTATGATTCTTGTGCTTTTCTGCATATTATATTATTCAAAGTTTGACCAAGTGGGATGTGTCAAGTTTCAAGGGATGATGTGTGTTCCAGATGACAGGTCCAGCCTTCCCATAAATGCTCACTGCTTGATGCAACACTTAAACCAAATGCAAATGTTGCTTGACCGCGAAGCAGCAGCTCATGTTGGAAAACACATCGAACATTTTGAAGTCCTTAACCACTGTCAAAACCAGACTGCAGTGTCCCAAGTGGTCCGTTTGCATTGTATAAATAAACAGGGAGAGGTACAACTTCACTGTAGTTTCGTCGTTTTTGTCAATGGAGGAAAGTCAATTGCGCTCAAAGCATTTGGCACCAGCGGGTATATTATATGAACTGTTACTGCTACTGCTACCAAACAACAAACAACAACAACAACAACAACAAGAACCACTGCTACTCCTGCTGCTGCTGCTGCTACTACTACTACTACTGCTTTTGCTGCTACTACTACTCTACTGCTACTACAACAACGTGTTCATGTACTGTATGTTCATAGTATGTTGTTCTGTCGCGACTCTACTACTACCACCACCGGGGTCACCGGGGCACCTTCTACTGCTGCTTCTACTCGACTTATTGCTGCCTTGCTGCCACTACTACAGATGATCTAAACCATTACCACTCCAATCAAGATGAAACCTCAAGTTTTTGACTTGAGATTTGACGCTGCATTTTATTATGTTTGTTCTTTTTTATGTACGACTCTTTGTGCAGGCTCAAAGGCTGTCCGAAGCGTCCAAAGCTTGGTTATTGTCCCGCCCCTGCAAACTTAGTGAACATTAAGACTCCACCGGTCTTCAAGTCTAGCCACGGAGCCGTCTGAATTGTATATATGTGCCTTGATTGAGCTGTGGCCAGCAAATACTTCGAGGTCCGGCCGCAGCGCGAAGAAAAGCTTCGGCGCCGCAAGTCGGCAGAGGTGGGTTTGAGGCCTTGTGTTATGCTGATCTCAGCAAGAGCCATTTCAAGGTGCTGCCGGAGGACACGTAGCTTGGAAGCAAATGTTGTGCAACTTTGTGGTGCGCAAACGGCAGCTGGAGGAATCCTTGAGCCATTAGACAGTGAGTGTTGAGTGTGCACATTGAAAAATGTTGCAACTGTTCTTTGTTTGTAGAAAGCTCGCAGAGTCAAGAATGCGAGGTATCCTGTCGGGGAAGTGCTTTTCTCTCGCTTTGAGCCAGAGGTGCGCGATTTGGTTGTGGAGCTGAAGCTTTAAAACTACATTTATGTTTGCCTTTAAAGGAGACTGGAACATGTTCTTGTTAGGATCATTTCAGTCCGGCTTTCTAGAGAGACTTGCATCAATAAAACTTCAATCAGCACCCTACCAGCAGACTGTCCCAGGTGGAGGCCTTGAAAACTGATGAAGACATCCGCCAGGCCTGGGCCAATTGCCAGCGAATGGACGTGCCAATCACACTGCATATACACAGACATGAATAGTGCTTCTACCGAATTGCATGCGTGCATTAAAGGTTCCTAATTCTGACCCTTGTTCACTCACCATGTTGAAGTTCTTAAGTTAGTTAGTAGTAGCACTTCGGGAAGTCACTCGTGAGGCTTTCCATGCAACAGCACGACCAGCCCAGGGAGACGTCACTGTGAGGCCACACCGTCGTGGAGGGTTCCGCGCACATGTAGCATGCAGGTTCCACGTTTTTGATCTCTCCGCAGACTCCGCAGCACAGTTTTGCTTGGTTGGCTAAGATTGCTTGCCCTGTGTTTCCTTGGCCTCCTTTTGCGAACCAGCTTTGTTTTCAAGAATGAGCTGTTAATGTGATGAGTGGCATCCGCTACTTTCCTCCAAAAGGATCAGCAGGGAGCGACTGTTGACCAGGTTGCCAGCTCCCGTCGAAGGGCAAGAGGAGCAAAAAGGCCTCAAACGACAGCAGAAAGTTCGGAAGGTGCCATGGGAGTTGGTGCTTGCGGCTGCTTTCTTTCCGTGATTTGAAGGAAGCTTCTTTCCTTTCACATGATTTGAAAGCAGCAGTTGTTCCTCTATGTTTTTATGTTTTGTTTTCCGCTATGTCATGCTTGGTACTAGTTGCATTGGCCATCTAAAGTCCAGTAATGAACCACTGACAAGCAGTGAAGCAAAACGACAGTCATCAAGGGGACATGAAAGGCTTTCGGCAGATGCACGCTTTTCCAAGGTGCAGAACGTCCATATGCCTGGCTGATGCTTTGTGTTTTCCTAAAAAAAACCATGTGCAGTCTCAAGTCAATGGTGCTGAAATGGCACGAAGACTCTCAGCATCTCTCAACTGCTATTGCCATGCTTGCTTTTCCTGCTGAGTGCAGAGTGAACTCAATTGGAAAAAGTGCATCATTCTTGCGCTAGATATGTTGCTAATTGTCGTTATGCAGCTTCTTGCAGCCCTGCACTGAGTGCACTGAACCCAAAGGTACGCCGAGGGATTTCGCCTGGTCGAGTCTTCTTGGTTGGATACTCACAAGGCCGCGCATTTTGCTGTGTTTCGTGACTCAACATAGTTTCTCACACGATTGGAAGAGTTTGCAAATTCTGGGCAATTTTGAGATGGGTTCTCTTTTCTCTCTCCACAAGTAATGAGTGACAAAGCAAAGTGGCCCACTAATAGCAATGGCCTCCAACCTAATAGCGATAAAAAGAACTACAGTAATATGGCAGGCTTGTGATCCCTTGAGTTCCTTGTTGCGGTTTGATGGCCATTTCTTCCACCTTTTGGAGGTGGTGGTCTCGCTTTAGCTTCAGCCCTGCGAGCACCCAGAAAAATTGGTGGAGCTCGACCCTCGGCAGCTGTCCTTTGTTTTTTCAGAGTTTTCCCGACAGATCTGATCCACAGATTTGATTCGAGAATGGTCTGGTGGAGCTAAGCACTGATTGCAAGGCAGCCAAGCTTTAAACAGATTCCGAGAACAATTGCAGTACTCCCAACCAATCCAATTCTAGTTGCTTGTATTGAGTATGTTTCTTTAAACAATTGAACAAGAAACACCTGAAAATGCAACCCTACCGTACCAGGTTTTGATGCTGAGCTCCTGGGCGACTTAGCATAAAACAGGACCACAATTGCACAAAGACTTGTGACATATGTACTGTCAGATGTCCTATTGATTCGTTGATTCAAACGCAATGGAATGTCAGATTTGTTCAGAACTGCTGATCAATCAGTGTTTAACAAAGAAATCCTCGGAGAAACCGTTCATGCGCTGAACAAATCGATCTATGCAGTTATCGCAGCTTGAATACAAGGGTAGACGGTACGGTAGACGCGATGGAAACGCTACTGGTGTACACGGTTTTGATCGGTTTTGTGAGTTCATCATATATACTCGGGCGGTGTGTGAGCATCAACTGCGCAATTGTGTTTTGTCCTCAATGACCAAGGTGGCAGAGCCTCTACCGAGCGATTTTCAGGACATGCAGTGATGCAGATGCATCAAGGATTGTGCAGTCCCGTAGTGACAAGAATTGCACTCAGAATGGATTGAGCACAATCACGCTCCTCGAGAATGTCAGGTCACTTGCCCGGGGCTTTTGCTCGCAAGCTGGGAGCAAGACAAGATTTGCTCGTTCTCGTTGTGGCATGTCAGGATGTGCCCGTGCATTTCTTCCATGGGGCAGAAGATCCCGTTGTTAGAGCCTTGGACAAGCTACGACTGAAGTGCACTGAAATAATTGAGCTGCCCAGTCTACACCTAAATAACAAGTGTTGACTTGTGCATTGTTCATACTTCTTTGTGCTAGTTGCCAGTTGCCATAAATAGGTCACCTTGAGCGGTGCGAAAGATGACCGACAGTGGCTGGAATCTAGAGGGCTCAGGAGTCCAGTGTGCACTTGGTCTTCGGATGTTTTTGGGTTGAAATACCCACACAACCCACGACACCAAGAGAGGCTTCAGAGATGCTATACTGCAAACACTTTCTTGGATGTGTGGCAATCTGGGAGCCTCATGTAGATAATTATCCAAATGCGGTGTGCAGCATTTATTTGTTTGTGTTTGGCATATAAAAATTAGTCAATTATTAGCGAGCTTTGCAGTAAGTTAGCTGTGGTTTGTTGTTAGGATTGACAAGCTCCCGTAGGGCGCCGGGCCGGAGGGTGCACTGACAATCCACATTGTGCTCACATGTTTCTCACTTTCTCGTGTCGGACCTGGATTGGTTCATGACTGGGTCCACAGTGAAAGTGGCACAGTGTCTCACAGTTGGTCCTGGCGAGGACAACCTTCCATGCCTACCCGGGCATGAGCCATGGCGTTTGTGATGAAGAGGTGCAGCTTGACCTAGCGACCTAGCTTGGATTTGTCAAGTTTGGTGACAGATTCAGAGAGAGTGAGTGATAGGGAGAGAAAGAAAGCAAAGGTAGGGTAGGGTTTGAAGTGCCATAGAGAAGAGTGAGTGGAAGAGTGATAGTGGTCAAGCGCCGCAGGTAGCAGACATTGCGCAGACCTTCTATGAAGCACTGTGAACAAACGTGCGGCTGTGCTTGGTGGTTCGAAAAGGGCGATCAGAGCACCTGCTAGAACTGGTCGCCTGGATTATGTGCAACCTCACTGGACTTGCACGAACCATAATATGCGAGGTTGAAGCCAGTGGCTAATTTGTATGTTTGTTTCTTGGATTTGCTCAGTGCAGCCGCTACAACCGGAATGGATGTCATCTTACCAGAGATCTTACCCCTTGCAGGCACAAAAGGCTTGTGGCCTCCCACAAGCCTAGTAAGAAGCAACATCACACTACACTCCCAACACCAGACCATGTGCACACAGTGTAGCAGAAAGGCTTCATGGTCTTGATATGCTTCGACTGTTTTACTATTATTCAATTGTCTCAGTTTGTAAAGCATGAAGGAGCCCTTTCGGGCGAGCTCCAGCCATGCATCAACACAATACCAGGTTCGGAGCGTAGGTGCGGCTGCGCTGCCAGACTGCCTTGTGAGCTGATTTAACTAGTTCTATTATAAAATGTTTCTGGGTGGCATTCAAAGAAGCACATTCCAAGGCACGAAGTTTACTAACAAACTCTTGTTTGGGGCATTTTGATTGATTTTGGCTTCTCATTGCAGATGCAGAGCAACAACGCTGCCCAAGCTCCTCGGGTGTTTGTGAGTGCCCTGCCTGCTGCCTTGGCGCAGAATTTGCACCTCGCCCTATCAGTCCAAAGGATTTGTCGCGGTTCTTTCCTGTTAGAAGCAAGGTAGAAGTTGATGATGCCCGTTTGCGAAATAGTGGTAGCCACGATTTGATTTCCAAGAAGACAACCATAGCCAAGTTAGATTTTATGAATTTGATGTTCTGATATGCCTTTAGGCTGCAACTTGATCCGAAACTGCATGTCATGCCAATGCCTTTGATGTCGAGAGGCCACTTCTCCACACTATCTTCACCACCTTCGGAGAAGTCGAGGATGTTTGGGTCTGATTCCAAGGTTTCAGCCTGTTGAGGCAAAGTCTTCAAGGGGCAGCATTACAGGCTTTTTTCATCCCGGTGGGTGGGTAGGGAGGAGACCACGGGGCTGAAAGGACCACTCACACACCCAGAGCGTTCACTTGGGAGAGCTGAGTGCCCAGCCTAAGCCCTGAAAGGAAACCCGGAAACCGTAGAGTTCCGTACGGTACACTTTGCGAACATTCTGGAACAAATCTCAGTTCCGGCCAGCAGAAATGTGGACCTCTCTCATAGGTCTTCAACTTACGGTGCTGTACAAATGCAAACAATGAAACCTTCGAGATTCTGGAGTGCCTGTCAACAAACCAAATGCCACATGGCAAATGAACTTGGGTACGCTTCTCAAGTGTGTGTATGTGAGGCCGCTGAAGAGGTGCAGCAAATCAAGAACATCAGAAAACAAATCTCCACTTCACTGGCTCTCAGCATCGCATAGCCGTTAACGTTTCAGGAATAAGTAATAAATGCCATCGCTGGTAGGCCGTTGCTAGTAGGTTGGAGGCATTGCAACATTTAAGCTTCGCGATATCCTCCTTTGTCAAGCCCCTGAGGCCCGTGTGGTGAATCGCACGCGAAGTGTGCACGAAAGCTGGGGATTTGTTCGCTTCAAGCTTCCTGAAGGCGTACCAGCTGTCAAGATTTGCAGTTCAGGGAGTCTCAGTGTGAAGGCGAAGAGGAATCTTAAGGTGATGCAAAAATCGTGTGTACGACAGACAGTCCAAATTTGAGTGGCGTGTGACCGCATTTGGTGACATCAGAGGTGCTGCAAGAGCTGTTTCCTTCGAAGACTGGGAAGGACTTCTGAAAGATTCAGGCTGGAGAGACAGAAGAGATTGAATGTGGAGTGGTATCTCCTGCGAGCCAAAATCTGGTGACCAGCTTGAAGAGGTCGTCGATTCTCCGGCATTGAGAAAGAATGCTTTACAATCAAAAGAGTCACAAGAATCAAGAGGACCTCCCTGATGGCGTGCAGTGTGAGCAAATAGAAACACGCAAGCGTGTTGAAAGATCATCAACACTTACAGCTTCAATCCACTACCACACTTCCTTAGCACATGATTGCTGTGTAAGTTTCTGAGTCAATCTAACACACTTTGGGGCTTCCTAAGTAATTACAGTTTGCATGTTATATGATTAACTATATATACCATGATATACACATACTCCTGCATATTCCTGGATCGCTCTTGGGGGAATTGAAATATGATGAAAGCTGTGCTATTGACAATCCTTTGCTTAGTCCTTTCGTTGGTCCTTTGCTTCTATTTACTGTAATTGTTTTAGGACCTTCGGATCTAATTTGCAGGTCTCTCAGAGACCTCTTTGAACGTGGCCACTTGCGCTGCAGAGTCGGAGGCCTGGACACTTTCCGTTGGAGGCGACGGCTCACAAACCGTTCACGCCAGGAGGAGGTGGTGTCAGAGGCTACAGTCATCAAAGCGCTTGAAAGAGAAGGCACCCGGAATGCATGTTGTTTAATCTGACGTCCTGAGAGGCAATTCCATCAAACTTCATAGTTTGCAGTGTTTTGGTGTGTCAATTGGCGATGCAGGGACATGCTCACCTCTTGTCTCTTGTAGGACATAACCTTCCTCTCTCCTCGACCTCTCAGACCTTTTTAAACTGATTCTGTTCATCACATGTTTGCTTCCAGTATTTCCTTCAAGTTGGAAATGCACTCCCCTTGTCACGCTGTGTTCTTTCAATCTTAACAAGCAATGGCCGCTCAGTAGCCGATTCGAGGCACAGATGGTCGATGAATGCTGTTTGTGATCCACATTTAGCGTGCGGGCTGTATGTTCATGGACTCCGGTTGCTTCGTTCAAAAAGCAAAAGAGAATGAGAAGCAGAAAGAAACACCTATATGATCCTATATGGTACCGTTGAATTTCCCACAGAATCTAGCAACAAATCAATCATCGGAAACAGACATGACAAGAACAAGAACCATGAGAAAAAAGGAGCTCTCCGTATCGCTCCTAGATTGTTTTATGCTAAACCAATGGACTCGGTTAAAGCATGAATCGGGCAGAAAAGATGAACCCGCGTTGCTTGCCTGGTCAGATGCAGCTACGTTCGACTTTGAGTCCTTTCGTGGGAGATTTTCAAAGGATTTGGCACGCAACTTGTCCACATGCGAAAGACGTGGCAGATTGGTGTATGAATCTGGTAGAGGCTGGTTTCAAGCCCCATCAGCACACGGGCCTTTTCATCAAAACCTTAGACATTTTGGACTTAGAAGTTCAGAATCAAGCAAACATAAAATAAGCAAAGCTTGGTTTGGATGAAGCGTCTCCCAATACTAGCATGTTTTTGTTGGGGGGATCGGGATGTAGTCTTTTCATGTCTTTTCATGTAGTTCCAGGTCCAAAGCAGTGTCAATCTCGATGAATCGATCTTCTCCATGGAATCAAGGCCCCGTCTTGCGCCGAGATGCTGAAGTGATTTTCCGAGTGCTACAGCAGCATAGGCCGGAAGGCGGGGGTATTCACGATCCCCTGTATAGATGAATGTTAATAAAGATTGATAGTAATTGATGTTTTGTTTTGTTAAATGTATTTTGTCTTTTGTTTAGTTTTGGGGTTGAGTATGTGTGCACATACTAGCTGCTAGCCCACAGGGCACACAGTTTTGTGACAAGCCATACATCGAGGACAGTGAATTGTGATGGTTTCTGGTTGAATAACCGAATAAGCCACGTGAACTGCTGAAGTTGGTGCGATGATTCCAGTGAAACATTTATATACTCAACGCCTGATTCCCGTCAATATCTTTTGACATTCAAACATATTCAAACACATATTCTAACCATGCCAGAGAGTAAAGACAAAGACAAGACACAGCGAGAAATCGCCAAATTATAGAAATCATATGTATTTGTATTTGTATACACAGGAATATATTTAGGCTGGTAGCAAGAGGCGCATTTGTTCTTGCATTCGTTCCAACTGTTGGTCGAGTGCATTCCAATTCTTCAAGGAAGCTTCTCCCAAGTTTGGGTCTATATTATGTTTCAGACATATCTGTCAAATTCTTCCAAGAGAATATGATTATGTTGGAAATTTCCTTCAAATTCAAATTCTTCAATCTTCTTAGGATTGAAGGGTTTCTTCATTTGGAAGCATTACCAAGCACTACCAGTCTTCATTCCAAGCACTATTCCAATGTTATTTCATTTGAGATTGAAGATTGAAGCTCCAGGCCTGACACTACGCTCCAGGCGCAGCTGCAAGCTGCAAAGGATGCTGCAGAACTTCCAGGCGATGTCAGGGATTAGAGTTCCACGTGCCCTTCCAAGGCTGGTCTATTGAAAGACCGGTGTTTGAAGATAATTTTACAACCCTGTACACAGATTGTATACAGTGATGGCATTGGAAACTAATCTGCTATAAATTGACGAGTGTAGAATGGATTTGCAATTCTGGGAGCTTGACGCATTTGTCTTTTTTAGTGATGCGTTGTTGATGTTTTTGAGAGCAAAATTGACATGTAGCCTTGAAACAAACAAAAGGTTTGAACCTTGCTAAGAAGCACTGATTGCGGGCCTTGGAGGAGGCAAAGGCCTTCTGCTCCTCACTGCTTACTCGAGAAACTATGCTCCTGGCAAAGTGTGTGAAACAGCCAACCGAACGAACCTTGGCAAACAATGGACAGGCAGCTAATTAGAGCTGCGTGTTGGTGGCAAATACAGCAAGCCTTAAATTGTGACAAGGTAAGCAGCCTCTTCAAGCTTCGTTGACTCAGGCAGGTTTTGAACTTACTTAGCCAAGCCAGGTCATCTCAGGTGACCTTGCTTGAAAGCAAAGGCCTTGAACACTTCTTGTTAATTTGATATTTTTGTTCTTTCAGAAACTTGAAAACAAAGGTATGCTGAGAGGCATGGCTATGACTTTGAGTGCGACGTCCTCCCGGCTGATGAAATGTTGGATGCAATTGCTCCACGAGACGCTCACACTTGGTACAAGGTGAACAGATGAGTAGGATGGGAGTCTGGGGCTCTTTCGGGCTTTTGGACCTTCCTAGATGTCTACAGTGTAAAGGATTTGCAGGATCTATAACGCCTATGCCTATATGTATTATTTATGTTAATATTGTCACTGTCACCTTGATTCCAGAATGTTCCGATTCTTCTTGCAGATCCCTGCAAATCACAATACAGACCGTTGCACATCCATGACTCCACAATATGGCGAGGGTAATTCCTGCAAATTGTCAGACCAAACATGCATGAACGAGTTGGTTGTAGACTCGCAGGTGCTGATGCTTCGCCGAGCAATAGCAGCAGGAAAGCATGGATTCGTTGTTTGGATCGATGCAGATGCCCTGGTGGTGGATCAGGAGAAGCCATTGGAAGCCTTCATTGCACAGGCGACAAATGCCAGTGCAAGCTGGGTGTGGGGGCTTAAACAAATGTGTGTTGCCATTAACGGCAGCTGCAAGGTTGCGGGATGACGGCACATGACGGCACCATAAACAAATTCAAGACTCTTCTTGTTTTTCACTGTAGATAATTCCTTTTAACAATGTAGACAGCCAACGACTCAAGGTTATATAATTTACATTTACTTTGGAAGCATGTCAAGATGTGATTCTTCGGGATGAACATGTTCTGCCAGTAGCATCTGCTTTTGTCCAGAACAACGCTTCAACATCTCATGAATCCAGGGTAGATGAGAAGTGGAAGGCAACTGTTCGCATCTTCAGGCCAGCTGATACAAATAAAGGCATACACAACGGTCGACTTTTTGTTCGACAAATCACAGAAGTGCACCCTTCAGAATAACAGACAGTTTGCAATGCTGTCCAGGCTGAAGGCCGAGACCTCATTGTTCAAGAAGATCTTTCGGTGCACCACCCTTTCTGCGAAAAGAACGTTTTCCTGTTCAATAGATTCTACTGATATATAAACGTGAGTTTTCCCTTTATGGGGGGGAGGGTAGACTCTAAAAGGGGGAGTTGTATAGCCTAAGCAATTAATAATTAGTACATAGCCATAGCAAGGAAGCTACTGTATTACGTACAAGGACACAGGAGGGGCGGGGTAGAAGCTTCCTTGAATATCCTTGAATAAGAATCCGTCGCATGGTGGAAACGGTTGCTACGTTCTCGGGAAACTAGGTCTTTACAATATAGCTATAATACTATACTATACTATATTTCATTATATACAACATACACGTTTTGTGCTGATACGTTTCGATCAATCAAGAAGCAACATCCGAGGCAGAATGTCGCATAAATTGTGGCGTGATGATCTTCCGGAGGAGCCCATGCTTGCTCGGGTTGTGCACGGCGTTTCAATGCCCTGAACCATCCAACATCCTCACAGAGGAGATGTCAGGACAAAGTAGTTAGCCATTTTAAGATCGGTCCATATACACGATTGTACAGGTAAGTATGACTGATATGCAGGATATTCAAACGTAATTTTATGCAAGTTAGTTTTTGTGTTGTCCGCATGTGTCCAACATCAAGCAAGGAACACCTCTCCATTTCCTCCCGCGATTGCAGTGGAGGCGGTATTATGAGCCGTAACAAACAAACTCCAAACCAAGACTGGTCTTCCTGAATCCACGGCGTCTCCCTCTCTCGGTGTTGCCGTGCTCCTGAGAGAGCCTCCTCACATCGCCGGTGTTGACTATGCGCTGCAAAGGACGTCTTGGTGCCAAACTTTACTACGATTATTGTGGGAAGGCAATCTTTCAAGACGGCATCATTGCAAGGCTTACTATGACGCTGGGCATCGAGATGACCTGGTGAAGTTCAAGAATTTGAGAGTTGGTTCACAATTCACCATTTGAGCTCTTCGTTGGTTCATTCTTGACTTCTTCCAGAGTGGAGTTGGTTCACTTTGAAAAGTGTAGCTTTACAAAGTCGAGCAAGGTCCTTGGTTTATCTTTCGGAGTCTTTCGGTTCGGCGCAGATCTCTCAGGAACAGTCTGCACTGGTCCGGCTGCTCGTAGAGGCTGGCGAGTTGGATCCAAGGCATCATGCCTTGGTTTCACGCCTTCTAAAACTCGCAAGATTATGCCCTGGGGGTCAGTGTGACCACTAATTAATTACTTTGATATTTAAGTGTTGGTCCACTTTCTCAATGAAACAAGCCTTACTAAAAATATACTAAAATAAAAGCAAGTTGCGGGCATGGTGAGAAGGCAGAAGCGGAATCACCCAAGATCTCAGGCCCAGGGGGCGCCTGCAACATCGAGCTCTTTCTGACAAACTGTGCATTTTGCCCCTTCGATGCCTTCAAACCAATCGCTTGCGAGAGGTGGCATGAGCAAGAAGTACTTTTAGAGTGTTAAGATCGTAGTGGAAAACTGACTCCGAGAGCGCTGTGTACTTCAATTCAATAACGCAATTGGCAGTCGTTCAGATTTGAGAAGCTTCCCCAGACATGGAACTTGTTGACAGCAGAGAACAGGTGCAGCTTGAAGGTGGCGAGCAGACCTTCATTTTCCACCCGCTGTTTGCATCCGAGAACTTTGCTGAAGACAAGGTACGTGCATTTTGTCTGCGAGCCACATTGAATTCCCGTACAAGATGAGATGTTGTTTTGGTAGACTCTTGTCGCTCTCCTTGAAGCCATGCTCTCGATCAAGACCAACTCGCACTGTATAATCCTAAATGAACCTCAACAAAATCCTTTAAAACAAGCAATCAAACCCGAGGAAACGGCAAGTAAACCCTAAAGAGGCTACGTTTTTGGGACATGTTTCTACCTGCTTTTATTGTGGAGCTATTAGGGAGGGTTCCGTTCAATGGCAGAGCACAGTTTTGAGTTGCATCAGATCTAAACCATCAATGGTCCTTGATGTGTACAGGCGGAGGCATTGCTGCGCATTGATGCTGCAAAAAGAAAAGATACTGCTGGAGTTGCTTTTGAGTTCATTTTTTAGCTGTGGGTCAACTTACAGTACTGAGAAGTGGTAGTGTGATTGGGATCGCCCAGGCATTTTCTTATGCACATGTTGCTAAGGCTAAGGCCACATGAGCCAACACGAAACCTTGTTTTTGCCCAGAGATATCAGGGATGCACATTGCCAATGTGTATGCAAAGTCCTATTGTTGATAAGGTATTTCGGAATCCTAACCACATACTCATACCGGTGCCTAACATGGACTTGTAAAACAATATGTGGGATCTGTGGGTTATAATATAAGTATAGTTACAGTTATAGTTACTACTACTGCTACTGCGACTACGAGAGTAAGACTCGGGTTAAGTCAATGCTTCTCAAATATACTCTGTAAAGCACAATCACGTTACATGTTTGCCAATGAAGCCGCAGCCACTTCCAAATGTCATTGCAGCTGCTTGTTCTGGCTACCTTTTGTAGCTGGGCATCAGGCCATGGGTGTTTGACTTTTGGGATTTTGTGTGTGGGAAAATGCACGCCTGCTTTGTAGTTGGTTAACCTGTCCGCCCAACAAACATTAGTTTAGCTTGAAGTTCTGAAACAACTTGTCCGGGCGGTATATATAGTTTGGATCCGTGCATGGTTCACTGAACATGTACCCGGAAAGTCATGTATCCGGAAAGTGGATGTATCCCGAAAGTTGGGTTTGACCTGTCCTCGTAACTTCAATTGCAGCATTGAAACAATATGTACATATTAATTATTATAGTATATGTATAGAGAAACATATTGTTATTGAAAGGTGGTGGAATTCCTGAAGTAAACCCTAACAGTCTATGAGAGCTTTGAATATGCTTTGATTCCTTTGGATGTTCCGTTTAAGTTTGGATCATCTAGGGTCCCATCCATGGTAACGGTGCCATTCAAAAGGCCACAGGTCCGGTTTGGCCTTACCTGAATAGATCCTACCAGCTGCTCCAGACATTTGAATGCTTTAGTTTGAATGTTTGAAGTTGAAGGGGTAACAGATCGAAATAGTATCAGCATCGGATTCAATGCGGTTTAGGTTTAGGGAGTGGCATCCGCAGTTCAACTCAGCTCCATGATCCAAGAGAAAACGTTTGGTTGTCTTTTTTGCTTTTTGTCTTTTTCGGACACATTAGGACATTTAGCCTCGATCGTATTCATGGTCATTGCCCACAAAGAAACTCTCGCAAGGTTTCCGCCAGATGGTCCGGCGCATGGGCAATCTTTGCACCAGGCCATGACCATTGACAAATGTCAGGGTTGCACATATGTTTTCAGCGTTCACGCCAACAGTATACACTTATATACTCTCTCCCTCTCTCTCTCTCTATATATATATATAAGTTTATCTATATAAGACCTCCAGGAGCGCCACTCCCACAGGGTGAAGGTCTCACCTGCGCAGGGTCTCTGGTGCTAGCCGCGCCTTGCTGCGATGCAATCTTTACACTGCTTGGAAGGCAAGGGACCAAGGGACCGAACAAGGGAACGAGCCCCAGAAAGGCAGAACCTCGGTGGGCCAGAAGGCCACAGAGGAATCCAGCAAGCTGTTTGAACCACAGAGTCAAGCGCAGTTGGCTTTTAGACCATAGATTCTCATTCTTGCTCCATTGACGTGACTGTCATGCAATACTGATTTGCACGCACAGTACTTCCATACTACTTCGCAAGCCTCTGGTTGGCTTGTGGAACATGTGATTGGTTCGATCATGCAATGAGCCTCAGCGTTCCATTGGCCCATTGGAAACACCTTCGTAGAACAGTCTTGTTGCATTTATTTTCTTTGGTTGTGGTGGTGTTTGTTGATTGTTTTGTTTCGATTGCTACGCCGCTGGACGCTTGCACTTTGTGGCTTCACTGACTTCGCTAGCAAATTGACAGTTGGTGCCCCTTCAAATTAATGAAGAGACAAACACATCATGGAAGGGCAGTGTATAGTCAGCTCAAGCACAGGGTGCCCTCATGTGTTGTCAAACAAACATAATAAAGGGGTTCGAGGCGGATGTAGATAGCAAACATATCCTGTGAAAGGAGGCACATAGTCTACAGTAGATCATGTGCCGACTGTTGTACACTGCTCGCAATTCACAAGTACTCAAGAATTTAGTGCTCCTGAGATTGTTTCAGGCCAGTCTCCGTTCGTTGCAGCGCACCTGGCATTCAAGACATATCAAGACATACAGTTAACGTGAGTCAACGTGATTAGCCTAGCCTCACCATGGCTGCGCCCCGTGTGCCCTCTATCTCCTCTGAAGTTTCGGCGGCCATCCAAAGGGCTTTGAGACCAGGCGCCAGTCCCTTTGCCCGTCTTGGGCTTCCAGACGCGCTTTGCGAGACCTCAGTGCTGAGAAGGGCATATCGCACGGCAGCATTGTTGATACACCCTGACAAATGTGCCCATCCTGAAGCCAAAATGGCCTTCCAGAAGCTCTCAGAAGCATTTGATGTCTTAAGTGGGCCCGAAGGACAGCAGCAACAATTAGATGGGCCCAAAGGGGGCTATCCAGGGCGCCCATATGAACGCGGAGGCCGCTATGACAGGCCTGCACCACCTGGATGTTGGGGAGAGTGTGAGGAAGATGTCGATGGACAGGGGCAAAGAGGCGGGAAGTCTTGGTGGGACGCAGGCTTCTCAGACTTCGAGAAGCGCTTGAGGGCTCGAGAAGCTGACCAGTTGCGTAAGGAGGCCATGGAGTCTGCCTTGCAGCGCGGAGAAGATTCCTTAGATGCCTTCATGTCTGTCTTGGAGGCTGAGCTCGACCCCAAAGCGGAAGAAAGGAACGAAGGAAGAGACCGAAGGGATGAAGCACGGGCCTCAAGGGGCACCAAGCGACCTTCTGCTGCCTCCGGAATACCAAAGCCAGGCACCCGTCAGAATGTGCCATCCTTCTCCATGGGAAGAAAGCCTTTCCGTGGACCTGCCATGCCAGCATCGGTGAGCTCGTCGTGTAGTTTCTTGACACGCACCAAGACATTCTCCAAGAATCTCCAAGATACTAACAGTATAGTTAGATACTGTTGGATACATGATCACAGAGCATCAAAGGCTTTTGCTCTTCCACAGTCAGGTCAGAGCGGTTGTTCGGTTCTCGCTTCACAAGAATCCCACGTGAAGTAGTAAGTCTCGCTTTTTGGCGGGTGCATAAAACGGCATGCCTTCGAACACGTGTCCGTTTTGGCCCAGCAAAAGCGACCAGTTCGTATCAAAAATCCTGCATCACGTGAAGGAGCCGAGTTACCCACCACTGCAACGAAGGGCAGTAAGCGTACTCCAACGTGGCTGCAAGAAACACGTTCAAGTAACAGGTAGCATCCCCACTTCAAAGGTCTTCAAATGTGTTTGTCGTGATCAACACGATTCAAAACGCACGTGCGCACTGTTTACCCGACCTCCCCAACCTTGAGGCAGTTCGGTTCGTCTCATCTCCATATCCACAATCATCCACAATCACAAACAAGCCTGACAAGTGTTCCCAGGATGAATGAAAGGACACTGTGGTTGTGTCAGATAGTGTCAGCATTCACATGCCGCACATGTCAAGGTTCTGCCTCAACTTCAATGGCAGATGTCTTGCTGAGCCATCTTGACTCCGATGGCTCCGAGCTTTCTGATTGATGAAACTGCAGAGTGAAAATGTTGCGTCTGGAATCAGGCTCGTACGCAGTGGCATCGGCGCAGTTGATGTGTCCGGTGCCATGATGCAAAAGTACAAGAGAAGGGGTGCGGGTCGCGGTGCAGTTTTGAAGGTGCCAAATACATCCAAAAGCATTGTTGTGTGTCCCACATGTTGCACCCACAGAGTTTGTTGTCGCCCGTTTGAAACTCAAACCCTAGGCTCGTTCAACATTTGTTCAGGTGTTACTCCGCGGGCAGGCAGAAGAGGCCAAGACTGTTTTGGTATGCGAACCAGTGGTTTCAGTCAGACGTGATCCCTGACAAGCAATTGTTTTGTGAAGGTTGAGGCTGTGGAGAAGGGCCCTTTGCTTTTGCTGGAGCGTGCGGCAAGGCTACGGGACAAGGCTGTTGCTTTTGTTTTTTCCCGTGGGGGACGGAGTTTAGACACACTTACTGTAGCAAAAAGGATGTTTTGTTGTCTTCTTCATGGGCCCGTTGTTTGGCACGATCTCCGCAGCGCCTGTTTGCAAATACAGTTGCACCATGTTGCACCAATATATATATATATATGCGATGTACTTGTAGAATTTGTAGAGCATGCCATGTGCACCTGACCTGGACCTCATTTTTTGCGTCAGGTTAGGAGTTGATTGGTTTGACCTGCCTATAGTGTATACTGGGCAAATTTGGGCAAGTTCCAAACTGCTTTAGATTCTAGTAGACAATCATGATCACTGAGAAAGCACAGCCATAGCACCCTTGAGTTGAGTTCCAAGTGTCAGGTCTGCAAACCAAAGCCGGCTTTGCAGGACAGCCAAGACTGGAAGCCAGCTGCGACAGTGTTGCAGCTGTGGCTACTGTAAAACCTTTTGACCTCACCTGTATCTGTTTTTTTCGACCCTGGCAGGTAGGTTCTTGCATTTCTTTGTCAGGAGCACTGGGATGAAGCGGGTGTGGAATCGATCGACCTGGTGATCAGAGGCCAATTGGTCAAGCCGAAAGACTGGGCTGGTGGACGCCATATTATTCAACGATTTCTATGTATGTGTGTATACAGTATACAGACTATACACACATTATATGTTTAATCGAATAACTGTCCCAATGAGTTGTTCCTAAAGATCCTAAAGATCCTGTCAGTCACTGCCAGATCTGTCAGTTCTTTGAAGGTCTCATGGTACGCTAACATTCCGCCAGGCATCAGTGGAGAGATTCTGCTTGAGGAGACAAGTCAACCTGGTTTTCTTGATGTGTGAAAACTTATGTATTTAGATGTATTTAGCACAATTTAGCACGATAGATTGGATGGGATGCATTTGTGCAAACGTTAAAAGGCAGCTGCTGACATGTTAAGTCGTTGCCAGCAATGCAAAGGATGTTGAAAGGAGTGGGATTTGAGTGAGCAATGGCAGGAGTCCGGGGCAAGGTCCCGAACTCCCATCAAGCAGCTGGTGCAGAAGATCCGTAGCTTGGCTGTGCTATTGCAGGGTTTCCAGGGCCTTTGTGCTCAGAACAGCAATTCACTTCCTTGGGACTGTCAAAAAATCGAATGACTTTGTTGAAAGGGTTTTGCTGGTATATATATGATTATATGTGATTTGGTATCAGTTATATACGCAGGTTTAACAAGATGGTAGCAATTTGCTGAACATGGATTCAGACATATTCTCACGGAAAACTGTGGGTTGTTTTGCTGCATCTCTTCTTAAATCTTGCATTTCATGCCAGCAGTAGTGGAAGGGGGTCTTCTCCCATAAACATCCTCATTGCCGGAAATGCTGCGTGTGATCATGGCCTATGTACTTCATTTTCAGAATAGCTTGAATAGACTAGTGTGCCCTTTACGACGACTTTTTCTATTCATGCCAAAGCCGCGCCCTGCAATTCTATGGCCACAGTTACTATTACTGAATCTGAGGGTAGGAGGTTTAGAGCATCATGTTTGGAAGCATAGGCCTAGGCTTTGGATGACGCCAGGGTCACCATGTTCATCCATGATCGATTATTATTTTCTGGGCCAAGGTGCAATGATGGATGACCTGGAAGTAGAGCTTGTGCAGCTCTGCCTGGGAACAACTGTGCTGAATCACAGTGCCGTGCTGGGTAGCATGGCTGAGACAGAGGTTCTGCAGCTAAACAGGGATTTCACTGGACATCCACAGCCTTTGATGTAGTTGTTTCGTTCCCTGTTCACAAGTTGGCCTTTTGTGTCTTGCCAGTACCAAACAATCAAGAGGGAAGAATCTGCAGTTAATCAGATGGTATGATGATCAAAGTTGGAATTGGAGATATCATATATTGGACAACAAGACTCTTAAGCTCTTAAGGTTCTGGAATGTCGTCCATCGATTCTATGCCAATCAATTGCATGTTTTACTGAGCAAAGATTGTACGATGAGGTATGCATCACACTCCTTTGAGCTGCAGTGCGTGTGATGTTGGAGTCAACAGAATCAAATTGTAAGGGCTCCGCCCGGGTGCCGCCGACCCCTTTTCATCTCGAGGGTTTGGCGGTTGAACCTTGACAACTTCCTGGGATTCAACAGCGAGACTTGGATGGGCTTCACACCAATGCTGGCATTCAACCAGCTGCCGAGAAGAGGGCAAGGCTGCGGTGAGGCTCTGGGGAGCGTTTGAAGCCGAGCCAAAATGCCTAACGTTGCCTTCGGAAGCCCATAAGAAGAGAGGAGGCAGGCTTCGGACAGGCCACAGAGAGGCCGCAAGAGGCCTGCCGGCTGCCGAGAGGCTTTTGAAGCCGGTCCAAAATGCCTAACGTTGCCTTCGGAAGCCCATAAGAAGAGAGGAGGCAGGCTTCGGACAGGCCACAGAGAGGCCGCAAGAGGCCTGCCGGCTGCCGAGAAGCTTCGGACAGGCCACAGAGAGGCCGCAAGAGGCCGAAAAGCTTTTGAAGGCGGTCCAAAATGCCTAAACGTCGCCTTCGGAAGCCTGCCGAGAAGAGGGCAAGGCTGCGGTGAGGCTCTGGGGAGCGTTTGAAGCCGAGCCAAAATGCCTAACGTTGCCTTCGGAAGCCCATAAGAAGAGAAGAGGCTGGCCTGCCAGCTGCCGAGAAGAGGGCAAGGCTGCGGTGAGGCTCTGGGGAGCGTTTGAAGACGAGCCAAAATGCCTAACGTTGCCTTCGGAAGCCCATAAGAAGAGAGGAGGCAGGCTTCGGACAGGCCACAGAGAGGCCGCAAGAGGCCTGCCGGCTGCCGAGAGGCTTTTGAAGCCGGTCCAAAATGCCTAACGTTGCCTTCGGAAGCCCATAAGAAGAGATGAGGCAGGCTTCGGACAGGCCACAGAGAGGCCGCAAGAGGCCTGCTGGCTGCCGAGAGGCGCTTGAAGCCGGTCCAAAATGCCTAACGTTGCCTTCGGAAGCCCATAAGAAGAGAGGAGGCTTCGGACAGGCCACAGAGAGGCCGCAAGAGGCCTCCCGGCTGCCGAGAGGCTTTTGAAGCCGGTCCAAAATGCCTAACGTTGCCTTCGGAAGCCCATAAGAAGAGAGGAGGCAGGCTTCGGACAGGCCACAGAGAGGCCGCAAGAGGCCTGCCGGCTGCCGAGAAGCTTCGGACAGGCCACAGAGAGGCCGCAAGAGGCCGAAAAGCTTTTGAAGGCGGTCCAAAATGCCTAAACGTCGCTTTGGGAAGCCGATAAGAAGAGAGGAGGCAGGCTTCGGACAGGCCACAGAGAGGCCGCAACAGGCCGGCCAGCTGGTGAGGCCTCGGACAGGCCTTTGCTTTGGAAGTGCTTGGAAGGGTTCTGCTAGGCTTGGCCAACTGCTGCATCCTGCGGTTTTGGAAGTGCTTGAAGGGTTCTGCTAGGCTTGGCCAACTGCTTCGCCCTGCGGTGTCCCAGGCGCCTCCCCGCCTAGGCTTTGGCTATAGGCCGGGGTCGGCGGATATTGTTCTCGTGGTGGTGTTTGTCCAATTCTGCGGCTCATAAAATGCGAGCTCTCAGACGATGGGTACTTTCTATGTAGATGTGTTATGATGTGCTATTTTATATATACATACAGATACATATGCACCCATCTTTTGTATAATGTTTGTGGTTTGTGGCATCATTGTTTGAAACTCACAGATATTACACCCGATGCCTTTCCTCAAGCCATTTTTGGTTAGAACAACATGACAATATGTTTTTGCAAGTTACCATAGTGAAATAAGGGAATTAGGTTGACAATGTTTCGGACTTAGGTGACTATGTTGCTCCATCGTATGGCCAAAGAGAAATGGTATGAGACCAAGAACAGCTTCCAATGGAAACAACGAAGGGAACTTGTTGAACTTCTGACAAGCCAATGCTCATTGACATGCAACTCATTGCCACATTTTCTTGATTTATTTTTAGTGATTGGCGGTTTTGCTGTTGCATGGGTTCCATTTGATCAGCATGCAGAGCAACAAGTTTCTTGCCCAATTAGATGCCACCTTGACTTTGCATCATTTATATACAGTGAGCTGCCGGAAGATAGAATACGTTTGTTTTTCCCGAATGCGTAGCGAAGGGTTCCCGTTTATAGTTGGGGGTCTGGGGGTTGGAGCTGTGTTCGCGTGGCTTGCGTCGTGTCGTCGTCTCTCGTCGTCTCTCGTCGTCGTCGCGTCTCAAATTTGCTGCCATTGGGGGAAGCTTTTGCAAGTGACTTTGCATGGATGTGTCACGTGTTTGTTTGCGCCGCTATCCCATTGTGATTTGCATGACAATGACATGTCGCGCAAGAAACGTGATGCATTTCGCTGCACAGGCGCAGCGTTTTGTGAGATCCGCAGATTGCTGCGCAGTTCCATTGGGATTAGCGTTTGGAGAGTCGTGTTTTTGGGGTGTTGGATGTGGCCGTGCCATTGGGATTTGCGTTTCAGGGTGTGGCATCGAAGCTCGGTTTTCGTGACAAGTCTCAGCTGAAATGGCGGTTTTGGGGGATGTGAGTGTGCTCAGAACGGGTCGAAATCATTCCAAACGTGTGGTGTGGTGCAAATTTTGTTGAAGCTCACATGAGATGATATTGTCACTTTTCGTGGCA